AATCATGAACGCGACAGGTGTCACCTAATGTAGGTCAAGGATACCCGGATACTAGTAATACTTTATTGTCAAAAACTGTTGACGAAATCCGTAGTATTTGAGAAATATAAACAATTTCACATTACCAAATTAGAGATGGACAAGTCTTACAGACATGAATAAGTCGTGCCACGTTCGTTGTAATCACGTTGACGGAAACAGAAACGAGGAAATAGTTACAGTGTGTCGATGGTCAAGTGTTATGTTTACCTAATATATACAACAAACAACCGATGACCACACTTATGCCCGGCGTATTATTTACAATGTGGCCGTAACAGTCAGACCACAGATAAATCATACCTTACGGGTATATCATGATCCTATAAAATTAGCTTTACAACCTGAGGGCAAATAGGATTGGGTACGTAGCATTTACAATCATAACTCGTCCCCTATCTAAATACTCGTGAAATGATTTAACATATGGGGCTAATTATAGCTTTTGATGATTAAAAAAAGGAATGACTATACTTCCCACGCAGGAAACGTAAAGTGGTGTAATATGTAAGCGCGTGTATTAACCTGTTGTATTGTATCTGTTACTGATAAACTAACATGTTGTGTTAAAACGTGTTGTGTAATACGTGTTGTTTCACATGTTGTGTTTTACATGTTGTGTGTGACTTATTGTGTATTACGTGTTGTTTATTACGTGTTGTATACTACGTGTTGTATATTACGTGTTGTATACTACGTGTTATATACAACGTGTTGTGTACTACGTGTTGTGATTAACGTGTTGTGTTTTACGTGTTGTGTATTACGTGTTGTCTTTACATGTTGCATTTTACGTGTGGTGTTTTACTTGTTGTGTTTTACTTGTTGTGTATTACGTGTTGTTTTTTACGTTTTGTGTATTACGTAAGATGTATTGCGTGTTGTATATTACGTGTTGTGTCAAATGTGTTATGTATTGCATGTTGTGTATTACATGTGGTGTATTACGTGTTGTGTTTAACGTTTTGTATACTACGTGTTGTATACTACCTGTTGTGTATAACATGTGGTGTATTACGTGTTGTGTTTAACGTGTTGTATATTACGTGTTGTGTAGTACGTGTTGTGATTAACGTTTTGTATACTACGTATTGTGTATTACGTGTTGTGTTCAACGTGTTATGTTTAACGTTTTGTACACGCGTGTTGTGTATTACATGTGGTGTATTACATGTTGTGTTTAACGTGTTGTGCATTACGTGTGGTGTATTTCGTGTTGTGTTTAACGTTTTGTATACTACGTGTTGTATATTACGTGTTGTGTATTACTTGTTGTGTATTTCGTGTTATGTTTAACGTTTTGTATACTACGTGTTGTGTATTACGTGTTGTGTTTAACGTGTTGTGTTTAACGTGTTGTGCATGACGTGTTGTGTATTACGTGGTGTGTTTAACGTTTTGTTTACGACGTGTTGTATATTACGTGTTGTGTATTACGTGTTGTGTTATACGTGTTGTATACTACGTGTTGTGCATGACGTATTGTGTATTACGTGTTGTGTTTAACGTTTTGTATACTACGTGTTGTATATTACGTGTTGTATATTCCTCGTTGTGTATTACGTGTTGTGTTATACGTGTTGTATACTACGTGTTGTGTATTGCGTGTTGTGTTTAACGTGTTGTATATAACGTGTTGTGCATTACGTGTGATGTATTACGTGTTGTGTTTAACGTTTTGTATATTACGTGTTGTGCATTACATGTGGTGTATTACGTGTTGTGTTTAACGTGTTGTATACTACGTGTTGTGCATTACGTGTTGTGTTTAACGTTTTGTATACTACGTGTTGTGTATTACGTGTTGTATTTTACGTGTTGTGTTTAACGTGTTGTATACTACGTGTTGTATATTGCGTGTTGTGTTTGACATGTTGTGTATGTGCGCACATATGTTTACAGAGATATTTTGGGAGAAAACATCCCCATCGTATCAAACAGGATATTACACCGACAGACTTTATGTGAGAGGTCTGTAATGCTCTCAGATCGGTATTTCTGATTACTTAGATTAGGTGAGACACATTCACACGAGGCAGTTACAAAAGTATAAATATCCATGACAGTTTTAGCCGTGTGTAGCGTACTGTACAACTACAATACTAATCACTAGAGAACACGGGGATTATTCTGAATAAATGTACTTTAACTGATAAGCACTGGTTAGATCACATGGTAACCGTGGTTATGTAGCGCTGCCGATGGACATCCATCCAGCCGCTGATCACGGTCGACGTTGCTAAACTAGCGAGTAAGTCCCAGGGTATACTGCATCGCTGAAATAGCTAACTCAGCAACGTCGAGCGCGCACTTGGTTAGTAGCAGGATGGGTACGCAATCGCACGTAAAATTAAGTTCAGTTTAAACAGTATTTTATTCAATAATCAGGCATGTTTATTATAGACATGTAATTTCAGATTGATTGAAAAACAAGATTAGAGCTTATATTAATTCCTGATTATTAATATTAATAATTCCTATATTAATTTACATTTGGTGGCAGCGGTGGGATTCCGGAGTATCGTTGTAACCCATTCTACATATTTTAATCCTCAAGTGTGTTATATAGCGGACTTGAATAGGTCAATCGCAAGCGACCGGGTGGCTCAATTGGTGGATGGTTCGCTTAGAGTTTGGAGGGTCGCAGATTCGAGTCATTGGGGGTCTTGTCGTGCATTTGCCCTTTCCTGTAACAGTGGTGCCTGCGACCAACCTTGTATCTATCAACGGTGACAATAGATACCAGAACCAGGGTTGCAAATAATTGTGCATTTAGGTTCGAAGACTTAGAAAAAGGCGGGAGGGATGTAGCGGAACTGAACTTGGTCGACCGTCAACGATCATGCGGGTAGTTAACTTGGTAGAGCGTCCGTCTCGAAGTCGAAGTCTCGAAGTTCGAGGGTCCCGGATTAAAATCCCGATCTTTGCGTGCTTTTCCCCACTTCTGATTGATCTTGTAAGACAGGATCGATTCCAGTACCTGGAGAAAGTTCATTGCTACACTACGACTGAGTCTAAGAACGAGACTTCTCGGAGGGGAACAGTATAACATCCGAAGAACCGTGAAGGGAATATGCTTCCTTCCTGGCAGTATAACATTGTGTAAAAAATGATGCAGTATCAAACTGTATAGCATTGTATTGTTGAGAAAATACTGTATATGTTATGTCTCCTCTCCGATGTGTTGTAAACACACAAAGAATAAAGAATCTGAATCGGGCACGCTAGCTTTGAAAGGACTTGCACGTTTGTTAATTTCTACTTCCTGTTACTGATATGAGTCGTACTTAGCTTGAGTGTATTTGACTTGGCGAAGATCGAAACGATATGACGCCTCTAATTAAAACGGGGTTTAAGAGAAATCAAGTTTACTATTGAAGTTCTTGTTCTGGTAGTTTGTTCCATTCCCTGGTGGATCTTGGGAAGAATGAGAGGTACAAGATGTTCTTCTTTTCTCTGTACTGTCGTAGTTTGTGATACCCTCGAGTTATCCTGTCACCTGATGTGTAATATACTGCCGGGTTACTGCTGGGTTACCTGCTATCAGATGATGTTGGGTGTTGTAGCATGTCGTTAATGTCTGTTTCAATCGACAATGTTGTAACAATTCCTACTGGAGTTGGTTTAGCAAGTTAGTTACACAGCCTGGGGTGATGTCTTGGTAACAGTTACTACAAGTATGTACAAATCGTGCCGCTCTTCTCTGTGATTGTACAATGTCCCTGATGTTTGTGATCTGATGAGGATCCCATACTGGAGAAGCATACTCTGAGGTTGGCCGAACTAGGGTCGCATATGCCGACGCTTTGGTGTCTCCTGTACATCTCCCCATATTTCTTCGTAGAAAGCCAGGGGTCTTAGAGGCTTTACCTGTTGTCGGGTTGATATGTTTCGTCCTAGGTCAGATCTTTGTTGATGGTCTCTCCCAGGTATTTAGCACTGTCAAAGGCATAAAGTATGTGTCCATGCAGGATAAAGGACGGCTGGTGGTAGTGAACGTCTTACAGGGACACGGACGACTGTACACTTCCCTGGATGGAACACACCTGCCACTCCCTTACCCACACCTGTAGCGATGTTAAGTTTGGAGTGCCGCAGCACCGTCAGTCTTCTTGATGCTTCTGTATAACACACAGTCATCTGCCAATAGCCAAGCATTTTATGTTGTGCCTCAGGGTGCTCGTTAATATATGCCAGGGATACTAACGGCCCAACACTGTGCTGGTGTTGGTTAAAATGGTCCATGAGGGTACCGTGGACTTTATGTTCCAGCAATTTACATGAGACGGAAGTCAGGGAAAATGGTCGATAATTTGATGGTGCATGTTTCTCACCCTTCTTGTGTATCAGGACTATGTTGGCATTCCTCCAGTCATCGGGCACTACCCCATGGTCTAATGACATCTGCAATGACCTGGTCAAGTGTGGTGAAAGTTGTTCTGCACCGCTCTTTAAGATGTATACTAGTATATTGTCTGGGCCGGGGGCTTTGAATGGTTTGACTCATTTCAACAATGCTGCTTCTCGTAAATCTGTGTGTTTGTGGCTCTGATATAACATAAAGTTGTGGTCTGACAAAGTTGGCGGATATATTACATAGAAGGCCAGTTTTTAGTTGTGGCAAATAGACGTCACCTACTTATGTATACATCTTGTATTTGACAACGAATGACAATTACAGACATGAGAAAAAACGCCATTTATAGATGATTTACACTGGTATCGAATGACAGTAGCAGACACGTTAAAAATTAACGTGATTATATTATATATATATTTATGTCGAATGACAATTTCAGAAACAGGAAAATGATGTCAGCTTTTTACAAGTACTGTATCTCGAATGACACAAAGATGTTGCTCTAAATAATAGTCATTTTACATATCTGTGTAAGATATAAGCTGCATTGTTGGTTCGCCCTACGGTACATCATACTACAACGAGACGTACATATGCTTACCTCAGGCAATTGTCATGCTAACAGATCTTGACGGTCAGCATGCTGAAATCAACCGTCCGTGACGACCTTTACCAGAAAGGTCATTGTGTAGGTAGTTCTAACACAGATGATGTATTCCGTAAACAAAGGACTAATAATGTGTATACACTGTCTGGCTGTATGTGGCCTGTGTGTGTAATGCGTGATCCAATTAATTATAAGCATGTGACGGACGAGGATTTCCGGAAAACATATCGCCTTTTTTTCAATATGAATAATTATAATACACCTAATGTCATATTATGGGACAATATTTGTTTATTTGTAAATATTTGAGGTACATTTTTTATTAAAAATAACGCAAACAAAGTGCACACTCACAAACAAATAAAATAGATCAATATTTTTTTTCAATTTGACACAATTAAAATTGATCTTATTTCTGGGATGATGACAAGAGAACAGATGAACCACACAAAAATTTACACGGATCATATTAATTGTGTCCGGAGCAATAGTCTACGATGTATACACAGCAGCTAGAATGTCGGATACAGTAAACTATCGCCATGTCACAATGAATGTCGGATACAGTAAACTATCGCCATGTCACAATGATACGTGTGAATGTTAAAATAGGATTTCCGGAAAGTTATTAAGTATTTTCTAAGAAACAAATAATTTTCGAGAAATTTCGCAGATATTTTCTAATAAAAAAATACTATGTGTCTAGTATACTCCAATGTGATGATGTACTGAAAAGTACAGCGGGTGAAAATTTGGTTTCAACAAAAACGAACGAGTCTTAATGACGTTAAAAAGAACGTTGATTAATGCATTTCTTTCGTTAATTTGGGATGGGGCCCTTTTGTCTCATTTTGAGAAGAAATATACCAGTCGGGAAGGAAATTTTCAGGAGTAAACTGAAATTTTGTGGAATTATGAATAGATATGAAATACAAGGTAATGTAGTTTAAATTGGGAGTGGGGCCCAATATCGACCCCAAAAGTCGCCAGATTTTTTTTACTTCGTGTTTTAAATATCATGGTCATCGGATACAAATAATATTAAGATGGTTTTGTCGAGTCCAGCTAGGTTATGACTAAGTCGACATGTATAACACAACAGGTGGGGAGATCGTTTAGTGGCTGAGACGAGGAAATAAACTGCAGTTAGCATGGTCCAATTCAGTAAATGTTAGAACGAGTTTAAATTTCCGTTTACAAACCTAGTTGTGATGTCATACTGTTTCCTACATGCCCCAGAAGTATTCGTTACGTGTTCAGTGTTTTAGTGGAAATATCAGGACTGAATCGTGTAATGGTATTGCGGGTACTCTGTCTGGTCTCGTTAATTAACGTTCGTTCATCCTTACGTAACTTATAACATGATAACATACCAAAACCGGCGTTTCTCGCGTGTACGATACTATAAACCTCAGCTTAAGATATAGAGCCCCAAAGTGATGCAATGGCTCCAGTGTCCTCGCCCTCATGCGCTGTGTTCCGACCGTACGAGTATTTATGTCACTTCTAACTTCTGCTTTCAGGTCGTCACATGAGTATTTTAATAATAATGATAAAATAAAGGCGTTTTAGCGAAGAAATTGACAATACAAAAGTTTATATTCGAATGAATTCTGTGATACAATTTAACTCGTCCCTAAAACTTCATTAGTGAATGGCTCATTGCTATGGTGTTGACAAAAAGGTTTTAACCTATGTGTATTTTAATGATGATTTGTGTATTTATACATCTATATGTATATGTATTATGAATGAGCTTACACGTTAATAAAAAAAATATGTTTGTCTTTCACTGCCGCATGTTAAAAATAGTTTAGTGTATAGGTTGCACTGTGGGGCTGGGTAGGGGGAAACATCCATTTGATTTTTTTTCTTTGTGTTTTATTTAATGGTGGGGTGAGAAAGGGGATTACATTTATCCATTTGCCATGCGCAGTAATTAGTTGGTGAACATAAATGAGTCCACAAGGATAAAAATTGATAAACATTAGCGGTAAAAGTAGGTAAGTTTTGATATCTTGTAAAAATAACGTAGCCGATAACAGTATGGCGGACTATGTCAAAACGACAAGTACGTTACACATGCACCTTTTTTATTTTATTTATTTTCTTAATACCGGTGGCTATATGTTTTCATTGTTTAGCTATTTTAAATTTGATTAAATGCTGTCATTTTCATTAAACTTCTTTTTCTTCTATCATCTACGATCTGCGATATATGCAGTGATCGTATTGTCTGTCGTGCCACCTGATATAAAAAATGACGATGTCGGTCAAACCTCGGATTCGTCGAATACCATGTATTCCTCGAACTATTGATCTGGACTCTACGAGTTCGAGTTAGCGTGGTATTACTGTACGTTTTATGTAATCGACCCCTTAACTCATTCACCCCTGAAGACACATTTACCACCCCAATTCAAAGGTTGGAATAGTTCATTATAAAATTTCAGGGATGAATAAGTTAAAGTCGTTTGTGGATTTTTTCAGCTTTATTTTATACTTACAGATTTAGTAATCGATCAATTGCGCTGTGAATCATTCAGGTATAGTACACATTTTTTTGGGAATAAGAAAAAGAAATATTTACCATACACGTTTGTGAAATATTTGCCAATTTTATTTATGAACTTTTACTACATATTTTTCCATTTTTTACACATTTTATAAGTACACCCCTTGGGACCCCCTTTATGTTTCAGGTTTGTACTGAATATTTCAAGATGTCAGAATTAGTTAGGAAATGGCTTTACAACTTCAAACAGTTATATAACAGTATATACAAATTAAAAACAGTATCATTATGTATATACACACATTATTATGTAATATGTACCATGTAATCTGTACGAAATCACTCTTGGTCACTATAGAAATGCTTTCAAAAAATAATGTTATCATATCCGGCAACATTTATAATTAATTCAAAAATAACAACTTTTATCAACAATTTATTGCTTGATCTTGGCATACGACCAGTATTACACGCAAGTGCAGGTACAGCAACACTTTATACAGCTTGGTAGACTAGAACCTTATTGAAATTGTTGAATACTATTTTACATTATTTGAGAGGTCCGACGGAACTATTACCACCGGGCGCGAATTTACCTGTTGAGTCTAACGATGAGTGGCCTTAGTCACGGTTTATGCTCTGTGACGTAATCAGGTGGATCCTACCCGGGGTAGGTGATGATATATGCATTGAGTCACCTGTTGAGATGATCAGTGCATGTTTGCATGATCGACTGTCAATACACATTGTTTGGAAATACACACACATATATCTAAGTATCCTATTTATGGACCGGTATAAACACACCTAAATCTAAAGTTGTATACATGTGTCATCGCAGGTATGATTATGCTGGTATTTCACCTCATCACAGGTATTTACCACAGGTGCTCGAAATTACTCCGCGCAGCCAGGTACACGGCATTGTGATTTAGTATCTCCAATCAATATGAAAAATAAATGTATTTGTTGGGTATGCAAACAGTTCTAAAACTAGGAAGGGATATATCAGCTTTAATTTCAGTTGTTTGAGTGTATTTGTGACAAATAGACACCTCTGTTAAAAAAGTCCCTGGTCTCACCTGGGCGGAATGCGGAAGGATATAGACGCCTAAGGCATTTTACCTGTAACAGTGAACCGCCATTACTGTTAATTTTCAAACACAAACGCGGAAGCGCGGAGAATATTGACTGCACTGTCCGTGGATACTTGTGCAATCATGAAGGCTGTGTATTTAATAGGAACTTTATGCTGTGTAGCAAGTCTGGGTAAGTTAAATGTTGTTGATGCCATAATTATACGTCAATATGTGAGGAAAAGGTGCTGTCACTATATGACAGTGTAGCCGTGATTCCGTAAATATGGTGACCTAAATTCACATATTTCAATCCTTCGTTCTGTTGTGATTCTGGTTCCTTTTGTCTTTTCGGAATAGTATATTGATCACATGTATTATAAATAACGTATTAATATTAAATTGAGTAAAATTTTACATTGACTCGCCGCTAGTTAGTCGAAAACCGAAATGATAAACAAGGTTTCACTCCAAATGCTGTCAGGGGGAGATAACTGCCGGCACACATTCTCATCTTCTGCTAGGGAGTGCCTTAGTGTGAAAACAAAGACGTCTGCATCTGTAAAAATATGAAAGAGTCTTCTTAATCCAACTATACAGGTGAAACAAATTTTTCTGTTTACCTTCTCCCAAGAATTAAATATACACTGTAGGAAGGCATTTAAATTTTAAACATATAACACCATTGACATCTAAAATGGCAGTCTTCCAGAGGGAATACAGGAAGTTAAGAAGTTAGATCTAATGTAAAATGAAAAAGAGAAATGAAACTGTCAGACCATGATTCAAACCCGGGACCCTCCGCCCCTGAAATCTAGAAGGACAGTTGAATTCAGTGCTTTTTTACCTGAATTTTATAACAGCCTGTCCCTTTAGGCAACAAATTTGCTGACAGGGAAGCAAAAAATGCATTGACTCTCGAACAAACAAATATCAAACTACCATACACAGATTTTAAACCTACTATTCGTACAGCCATTCAAAATGAATGGCAGCAACGCTGGTCTCTCGAGACTACTAACAAACTTTTTAAGATACAACCGAAATTTAAAACATCTATTCACAGTCGGAAAGATTGTAGAGAGGAAGTTGTCCTCACTCGACTCCGTACTGCATGGGCACACATATCCTACTCATTCGTATCTTTTAAAACGAGAAGATCTACCTTCATGCCACACATGTGACACTCCATTTACAGTGGAACATTTTTTAATAGCATATTCCAATTTTAAACACATTCGTGATAACTATTTTCGAGTCCCGGATATGAAAACTCTTTTCAGTTCCGTGGACTTGAAGCCATTATTTAACTATTTGAAAGACATCGGTCTATTTTATAGACTTTGATGTCTTTTAACCCACCTTACCCTTTTTGACGTTATATATATATCAAATATTCCATATCATCTATTTGTTATCTCTTTTATTATTTTAACCCCCTTTTTATTTTTTATTATCTACACATACAATGCGAATGCTTTTAAAATGAACCATTTTATCTGTTTTTATCTTCGCTACTCACATGTTTGTTAAAAAAATAGAATAAATAAATAAATCACCTGCTTTTTTAAATGACCACAGCCGTCGATGGGCCGTTAAACATAAACAAACAAACAAACAAACAAAACTGTCCCTTTATAAATTGAGAAAAATTATAGCAATATTGTATTGAAGTTGGTAATATATTGCTCATTTTGGAAAAATAAGACACCACCGAGGAAAAAGCTAGCTTATATTTGGCAGTATAAGTGAGCAAAAACACTTTAACACTGCATTTTAGATATCTGGTCGTCCCGAGTGAAGATGGTTGTCCATCCCAAGGCTCTGCCGAGGGATATTCACTCACCCAAAAAATCACCCTGAGGGTTGGGATTTCTCTGTTACACCCTCAAGGTAGGGGATGATTATTTTTCTCCCATCCTAATTTCAGTCACAACTTCACCGACAGTAGTCTGTTTGTAACCAAAAACACATGGTGGGGTATGAATATTGTAATTCACTTTTGATAATGTCACAGTTACCGGTGACACATTTTAATGACGTCTGTGCTAATCGGCACAAGGCTATCTCTCCCTAGGGGTCGACAAGCTGATCTTTCCAGCTTAAACAGGAGACACCGTCCGTCACACCCCTGTGAAGGGTTGGAGAAAACAATATTTACAACTCGGGTTTGGATATATCCCCTTGCTAAGCATAATCACCAAGTGCATGAAACAAGGTTAGCAAGCTCGCCAATGTTGTGACAAGAGAGAGAAATACAATGACCAAACAGGGGTTAAAACCTGTGATCCTCCGAACTCTAGAAGAATGCTCTACCAAGTCCAGTTCAGATACACTAATCATGATTGTGGTCTCCAAATAATGATCTGTCGCCTGTTTATGGTCAGCTGTCAACTGCCTTATAAAACACATGGATGGTTGTCTGTGTAAGTAATTATTAGCTCCATAATTTATAGCGAGGGATTAAACAATATTTTGAAAATGGTGGGAACTGATCATAGCGACTACTCGCTTGAAAAAATAACATATTCTCCTACAGATATTTCATCAGCTTCTTTCATTAAAAAATAAGTAGAAATATATAGTTAGGTACATATAATGCAATGTTCATGTACTGCAATCAACGGCCTACAAAGTACTCGGAAATAAACAACCCCTGTATAAATAGATTTGGGCTGGGTCAGATTGTCCCCTCTTTAGTTTGTTATATGGACGAAGCATGTAGAAACACAACATAATATTAAAATCTGTTTTCATTCACATTTATTTCTTTTTTTTGTTTCAGTTTCTGGTCAGTCTATCGCCATAACAGGAACAAGTACCCTGGTAACACCGACATCAGAACTCAGAATTACATGTCAGCCAAGCACAACTGGTATCAGTGATGTAAGTACTATTAGTGTTAAAAAAAACACTAGTAGTACTGATTATACACCGATAGTGTCTGTAGCCTATGCTAAATCCAGTGCATCATCAGTAATCACCTGGGGTAACACAGCTTACCAGAACAGACAGGGTGTGTTAGCGACAGGAAATGTGGACACTCTTGGTGGTGCTCGGCTTGTGTTAACAATCTCCGCGAACAACACCCGATGTGAGGACGGGGGAGCTTACCGGTGTAACNGGAGCTTACAGGTGTAATATGGGAGTAATTCTGACAGGTGGTGGTGCTGCTGTAGTTGATGCTGATAAATATGTTACTGCTACAGGTATGTATCTCACATCTTTATGATAGAAATACTCTTGAATGAAAGAAAGTAGAAGCTCACAAGAAGCTATTATCAATACATGACTAGTATATTACTGATCAAATCCCACAGTAACTGAAAAATGGTGTAAAAAACAGAAGTCAAGCTTGTTGTTCGTGACAATGCTGGAAGCTGATCATGAGGACATATATTTATAATTGAATCATATTTAGTTTAATAGATTTTTCCAACTCTTCTTTAGAGTTCCTCTTTATTTAACATTTTTTTTAACATTCATTACCTTTCACCACATTTACATCTAGTGCATGAACACTTTGTAATCTGCTAACGAGTTATTTACGAAAAAAATGAAGGAATGTTTTAATTCAAAAAAGAAAATGTCCTTTAGTATTGATTTAAGTTGATATCATGCCAATCGTAGGTCTTTCCTGTTTCATTTGACCTGACCTTTACCAACACCCTGTTTGTGAGGCCTTCTCCCAATGTTAAACATAACCAATTTATCTGTTACAGTTCTGCCGACCTACACCAACGCCCTGTATGTTACGCCATTTCCAAATGTTAAAAATAGCCAATATATCTGTTACAGTTCTGCCGACCTACACCAAAGCCCTGTTTGTTACGCCATTTCCCAATGTTAAACATAGCCAATTTATCTGTTACAGTTCTGCCCACCTACACCAACGCCCTGTATGATACGCCATCTCCCAATGTTAAACATAGCCAATTTATCTGTTACAGTTCTGCCAACCTACACCAACGCCCTGTATGTTACGCCATCTCCCAATGTTAAACATAGCCAATTTATCTGTTTCAGTTCTGCCCACCTACACCAATGCCCTGTATGTTACGCCATCTCCCAATGTTAAACATAGCCAATATATCTGTTACAGTTCTGCCCACCTACACCAAAGCCCTGTATATTACGCCATTTCCCAATGTTAAACATAGCCAATTTATCTGTTACAGTTCTTCCCACCTACATCAACCCCCTGTATGTTACGCCATCTCCCAATGTTAAACATACCCAATTTATCTGTTACAGTTCTGCCCACCTACACCAACGCCCTGTATATTACGCCATTTCCCAATGTTAAACATAGCCATACCTGTTACAGTTCTGCCCACCTACACCAATGCCCTGTATGTTTCGCCATTTCCCAAGGTTAAACATAGCCAATTTATCTGTTACAGTTCTGCCCACCTACACCAATGCCCTGTATGTTACCCCATTTCCCAAGGTTAGACATAGCCAATTTATCTGTTACAGTTCTGCCGACCTACACCAACGCCCTGTATGTTCCATTTCCCAATGTTAAACATAGCCAATTTATCTGTTACAGTATTGCCAACCTACACCAACGCCCTGTATGTGACACCGACTCCCAATGTGAATGGTCAGTATTACTCTGTGGGAACCTCACTGACGTTCAGCTGTTCCGGTACTGTAGGCAGTGACAAGAGGATCCACACGTGGTGTTACAAACAAGCAGGCAGCAATACCGGATTTACGGTACAGTTAATGTTGTAATTAACTTGTTGTAAGAATATATACATATATACACATTCCACTTGCATCACATTCGAATTCTGTCACCTTCTCTCAAAAAGCTTCCCACAACAAAATTGGTTATGAATTTCTTTTAATGTCACTCTACTTCAACTATATGGTAAAATGTGACCGGACGGAATGCTGTGCTCGATGTATTCAGCATGGTATTTCAGTGAGATAGCACTATAAAGTCAGCACCAGATCCACACTATTACAAGGAGGCAATAAGTACACCAACATACCCTGTCTCCTGCATACACACACACAAGCATGCATACACACATGCATGCATGTCCTTTAATGACCCTGTCTCTGGCTCACATGCATGTATGTCCTTAAATGACCGTCTCTGGCTCACATACATGTATGCTTTCACAACATACACTGAAGCACGTCCTCCAATGGCCTTAGCTGTAAAACAAAATAAAACCAAACCAAACCCTGTTTACATCACCACAAATTACAGAATAGTTATCTGATGTTAAGGTACAGAATAAGGTTATACCAGATGGTAGTCTTCGTCACACCTGAAGATGTTACATAACAAGGTCACAGGTAACATACATCTCAGGGTCATTTATCACATCGCTGTCGTACTGCAGTCCTGTCACTGACCAACAGTGGTTTCGTTTGTTATTACCGGACTGGTAAGTCCCTACATCAGGTATATCTGTCTTTGTTCACTTTGTTGTTCCGTGAGATAATCTAAGAAACGGTCACAACAAAATCTTAGAAATGGTCACAACAATATAAATGTATCTTTAAGAGTCCAGCATTTGATATGATTTAGATTTCTGTTTTTCAGGGCTACCCTACTGCAACGGACATTAATCAGAATGAAAACGGTTTGGTCCAGGATGGGTGTAACTACAGGCGCAGCAGTACACTGACCTACAATGTAACGGCAGCAGACACAGAAACCTCATTTATGTGTGAACCATTCACTGGCAGCATGTGTGGTACAAGTGCAGCAGGTCTGAAAACCAACTATACCATTAGAAACTGTACGTATTAATGCCTCCTGGATAGAAATATCGTGATTGACAGTCATAGATACCTTATAACAAACTGAAGCTAAGCTTACAAATCGTCATATATAGTGAAAGTTTGAAATAGCATGTGTAAATATAGCACTTTCCTACTTTTCATTGAAATGAAGGTATCGTAGGATTCTGTCCTGGCCAAAGTTTTCTCTGGCCAAGACACAGATTCAGATATTTCGACAGATAATGTGTGGTTAGTCGGAGTTTCCTCTGGGCCCGACACCAGACTCAGAAATTCTGGACAGATAAATGTGTGGTTGTCTGAGTTTCCATCAAAACGTCTAGTCTGGTGTCAGGACCAGAGAAAACTCAGGCTAGATTTTGTCCTAACAGATAATTAAGTATAAAGTTTTAAATCAAAATTTCGGTATTGTGTACTTTTGATGGGAATATGAATATCCTGAAAGTGTAAAAAGTATCTCGGATCCTTTTAGATTCCCCCAAAAAAGTGGAAAGTGACTAAAAGCAAAGTTTGTCACCACCATTTCAAGGTTTGTGTCCATGATGACTCTTATAGTCTGATCAGCTACACGTAGGTAGATGATTCTGTTATGTGGTATAAATGTTACACCAGCAGGCTAACTGATGTACAACATCACTTTAATTGATAAAAAACAACTTAAACTGAGGTCTATTACAACTGTTACTTAGTTGTTTAATTCAGCTAATGAAAATACAAATCTTCTTTTCCAGATGTATCCGGTGGCAATACAGGTGCTCAGGATGATTCAGAAAGTAAGTATAGTATACATATAAACTGTGTAACTTGTTATACACTGAGACATTGTAACTTGTTATAAACTGAGACTGTGTAACTTGTTATACACTGAGACAGTGTATAACAAGTTACACGGTCTAAGTGTATAACAAGTTACACGGTGTCGGTGTATAACAAGTTACATGGTGTCAGTGTATAACAAGGTACACGGTCTCAGTGTATTACAAGGTACACGGTCTCAGTGTATAGCAAGTTACACGGTCTCAGTTTATAACAAGTTACACGGTCGCAGTGTATAACAAGTTACACGGTCGCAGTGTATTACAAGTTACACTGTCTCAGTTTATAACAAGTTACACAGTCTCAGTTTACAACAAGTTACATTCTCTCGGTGTATAACAAGTTACACGGTGTCAGTGTAACTTGTTATACACTGACCCTGTGTAACTTGTTATACACTTAGACCGTGTAACTTGTTATAGACTGAGACCGTGTAACTTGTAATACACTGAGACCATGTAACTTGTTATACACTGTCTCAGTGTATAACTAGTTACACGGTCTCAGTGTATTACAAGGTACACGGTCTCAGTGTATAACTTGTTATACACTGAGAGAATGTAACTTGTTGTAAACTGAGACTGTAGCTTGTTATAAACTGAGACATTGAACTTGTTATAAACTGAGACCGTGTAACTTGATATACACTGAGAGAATGTAACTTGTTACACCCTGAGACCGTGTAACTTGTAATACACTGATACCTTGTATCTTGTTATACACTGACACAGTGAAACTGGTTATACACTGAGACCGTGTGACTTGTTATACACTGAGACTGTGTAAATTGTTATACACTGAGACAGTGTAAATTGTTATACACTGAGACAGTATAACTTGTTATACACTGAGAGAATGTAACTTGTTACACACTGAGACAGTGTAAATTGTTATACACTGAGACCGTGCAACTTGTTATACACTGAGACCGTGTAACTTGTTATACACTGAGACTGTGTAACTTGTTATACAATGAGACCGTGTAACCTGTTATACACTGGGGGTTATCAAGTAACCGTATACATTATTATCCACAGGGGAAATCAGATAACCAATGTAAATTACAATGAAACAATAAACCTAGTTAGATAGTATAGGTTACCATGGTAATGGCAATATGTACATAAATGTAATAACATTAACACATATTTATACCCCCACAACAAAGTTAGGGGGGTTTACTGGAATCACTCTGTCGTCCGAAGTAACTTGTCCGAAAAACTCCATCTTAGCTAACAGGCAGATTTTATTAAAACTTCACTTGTGTCTGCACAACTGAAATTTTGCATTGATGATCACTATCTGATGTACTTGGCCAAGGTCAAGGTCACTCAATTAATGACGTATAAACTACCAGTATCTGTTGGGGTATTAGTTATCCTTCGGATGACAGTTCCAGTTGCACCAGTATAACACTTTCACTATAAATGTTCATATTGATATTTGAAATAACACTACATTTTGTTTCATTTCAATGTATGACCTGTATAAATTACAAATCTAGTAACATTGGTCTGTTTGTAGTATTCACTCACAATTTATTCTATTTGATGTTATTAAGCTTGTATAATATTTGCAGTTAATTGTGTATCACATATTTGCCCTTTAGTAAACATATATATTCATGCTTGAAATTCAGAGAAAAAAAAATCGAAAGACAAATCAAGACAACTTTGACAAGGTTGACAAAGTTTTGCTTGAAAAAAACCTTGACAAAATCAAAATGTCATGTTTGCTTCAGTTTGAATTTTGGTGGATCAGTTCATGATCACTGTCTGCCTTGCTATACCTGCTTATTCGTACCAGTATTACTTATTACTGATCAGTAACAAAATATTGGAACATTATTATTAACCCTGTCACCCCTATGTAACTTAAGTGAACTCTACCATGCATTAATCTGGAAGAGTCTATTATGGTCTACAGTGGTGAAAGGGTTAAATAATAATGTTGAGTGAAGCACTGTTATCCTTGTTCAAGCTTAATGATGAACCGATAAGACAATTACCCTAAAATACAATGTAGATCTTTATAGGAATCATTTACTTCATAGACCAAATTTAGTTAGTCTGTGATGTTATTTTGCAGTGAGGGAAAGGATTCTTTAAAATAACTTCTCTTCCTCAAACTATTTCATCCCAACATATTTAAACTGGACTTGCCCAGTCTTTGATTTGGTAAAGTTCAAATGTGACTAAAGGGGTGAATTTGTAAATTAACAGAAAATATATATATAAAACACAAACAAACCAAAAATTGCATTTGGAATCTTTTGAAAACACAGGTAATTATAATGTGGTTGGATATCATTGAAGCCATTAGTACTAGTTGCAACTCAAGTGACACAGAAATGCCTTAATATAGCTTGACACCTGTTCTATGTTAAGTCTATGCGTTTTCCCCAGATTCCAGTGGCGGTAAGACCCCTATACAATTTTTCTGTGTTTTGTTATATAGTTATATAGAGAACTGCTCTGTGTACTGAATCTGTGTTTTAGTCTTTTCACACGTTCTGTATATATACTAACACTAGGTTTCTGTCGTCAATCTGAAACAATCAACTGACCAATATATAGATATTGTGTACCCCGAGTCACACTCGTGATGTACAGCTCCAGCAGTGTCAACATTAAGTAACATCATTATATAGTTATGAAGTCAAAATGTCTGATCTATTGTGGACCATTGATATAGACATGTACATCACTGTATCTAACGTGAAAGGCTTAAACCAAAGCCAGTATCAGTTAAATGTTCATCTGGTCCATGCCAATATTTTGCTAAAAACAATTAAAGTATTTGTTTGTTTATATATATAAGCATTGAAGTGGTTTTTATGTGATATGAAAACAGAAGATAAGGAAAGTAGGAAAAATAAATTGAATTGTTACTTTTTGTGGACATATGTTGAGTAATTACGGAGCTATGTAACATCAGCGTCCAGTCACTTGATTAGGGGTTAACTGGCAAGGATTAAAATCTGTGTTCCGACCACAGATAAAAATAACCTACTAATTCCTCATCAACCTTTTTCATTCCAGCTCAATGTGTGTATTTAGATGCTTTGCACTGACTAATGTTTTATTTTAATTCTTCGCATTGATGTTGTGAAATGCTTGTAAAATGCTTTATATTATATTTACCCCCTACTACAAAGTTAGGGGGATGATTATATTTACCCCCTACTACAAAGTTAGGGGGATGACTATATTTACCCCCTACTACAAAGTTAGGGGATTATTATATTTACCCCCTACTACAAAGTTAGGGGGATTATTATATTTACCCCCTACTACTGTTGAGTAATTACGGAGCTATGTAACATCAGCGTCCAGTCACTTGATTAGGGGTTAACTGGCAAGGATTAAAATCTGTGTTCCGACCACAGATAAAACTAACCTACTAATTCCTCATCAACCTTTTTCCTTCCAGCTCAATGTGTGTATTTAGATGCTTTGCACTGACTAATGTTTTATTTTAATTCTTCGCATTGACGTTGTGAAATGCTTGTAAAATGCTTTATATTATATTTACCCCCTACTCCAAAGTTAGGGGGATGATTATATTTACCCCCTACTAAAAAGTTAGGGGGATGATTATATTTACCCCCTACTAAAAAGTTAGGGGGATGCTTATATTTACCCCCTACTACAAAGTTAGGGGGATGACTATATTTACCCCCTACTACAAAGTTAGGGGGATTATTATATTTACCCCCTACTACTGTTGAGTAATTACGGAGCTATGTAACATCAGCGTCCAGTCACTTGATTAGGGGATAACTGGCAAGGATTAAAATCTGTGTTCCGACCACAGATAAAACTAACCTACTAATTCCTCATCAACCTTTTTCCTTCCAGCTCAATGTGTGTATTTAGATGCTTTGCACTGACTAATGTTTTATTTTAATTCTTCGCATTGATGTTGTGAAATGCTTGTAAAATGCTTTATATTATATTTACCCCCTACTCCAAAGTTAGGGGGATGATTATATTTACCCCCTACTAAAAAGTTAGGGGGATGCTTATATTTACCCCCTACTACAAAGTTAGGGGGATTATTATATTTACCCCCTACTACTGTTGAGTAATTACGGAGCTATGTAACATCAGCGTCCAGTCACTTGATTAGGGGTTAACTGGCAAGGATTAAAATCTGTGTTCCGACCACAGATAAAACTAACCTACTAATTCCTCATCAACCTTTTTCCTTCCAGCTCAATGTGTGTATTTAGATGCTTTGCACTGACTAATGTTTTATTTTAATTCTTCGCATTGATGTTGTGAAATGCTTGTAAAATGCTTTATATTATATTTACCCCCTACTCCAAAGTTAGGGGGATGATTATATTTACCCCCCTACTACAAAGTTAGGGGATGATTATATTTCCCCCCTACTACAAAGTTAGGGGGATGATTATCTTTACCCCCTACTACAAAGTTAGGGGGATGATTATATTTATCCCCCTACTACAAAGTTAGGGGAATGATTATATTTACCCCCTACTACAAAGTTAGGGAGATGATTATATTTACCCCCTACTACAAAGTTGGGGGATGATTATATTTTCCCCCTACTACAAAGTTAGGGGGATGATTATATTTCCCCCCTACTACAAAGTTAGGGGGATGATTATCTTTACCCCCTACTACAAAGTTAGGGGGATGATTATCTTTACCCCCTACTACAAAGTTAGGGGGATGATTATCTTTACCCCCTACTACAAAGTTAGGGGGATGACTATATTTACCCCCTACTACAAAGTTAGGGGGATGATTATATTTCCCCCCTACTAAAAAGTTAGGGGGATGATTATATTTACCCCCTACTAAAAAGTTAGGGGGATGATTATATTTACCCCCTACTAAAAAGTTAGGGGGATGATTATATTTACCCCCTACTACAAAGTTAGGGGGAGGTAAACTTTAGTCGTATTGTCTGTCTGTCTGTCCATCTGTCTGTAGACACATTAGTTGTTACGCTTCTCCTCCGAAAGTGCTGCCCAGATTTGAACAATATTTGGTGCACATTACCCTTACATTTAGAGAATTGAATCAATCTATAAATTGGAGCAGCAGCTCCTAATTATGAAGTTATTCCCCTTTGTTTGAAAATGTTCTTTAAAGAATTTTCCTAAAGTTATTGGCACTGGAGACATTACTAAGCCATTCTGGCAACATTTAGTTTAATACTGTCTAAATCACAGAGGTTCAGACGTGTTAGACTGATGTCTGTGTGACACTTACTAGAATGCTATAACTCATTCACCCCTGAAATTTCATAATGAACTATTCCAACCTTTGAATTGGAAGAGTTCAAATGTGACTTCAGGGATGAATTAGTTAACTGTTAAAAGCACATGCTGCTTAATCTGATATATATATGTCCATGTTAGCACTAAAGTATTTTAATATTAGGTTTCCAACTCAATAATATTTGATATCATTATAATGATTTAGCAATTTATATCATACATAAAAATTCTTAAATACTTTTGGTTCCTCATTATTTTTTTGCCTTCTAAAATTACATGGATAGATATATTGTCGACAAGAGTTTGCACACACCCATTTGTGACATACAATGTATTAATCTATATCACAATATCCAGTACAATATATTAATGCTTACAAGCTTTGTATCAAAGTGTAAAAAAAAAAAATGTTCACTATTTATTTATCAAAGCCTTGGACTTTCGTTATCAATTTGTTTCTATAAAAGAATCTTTACTTTACAGGTTATTTTTTTTGTATTAATGTTTTCTATGAAGATTCCCGTTTTGAGATTTGTTAAATTTAATGTACAAATGTAGAAGCACATTCGCTTGCTTTGGTTCACTGCCACATGTACAGTGTCTTGCTAGTTTGCAAAACCTGAAAACTACACGCCTTTATAAGTTGTTGGGAATATAAAATGTTAATGTGAGGAGGGATTCCTGATCTTTTATTGATCATTCCGACTTTACACTGAATGAAATCTTCAATAAGTTTCCTCAGTTTGCAGATATGTAATATCAAAGTTTTACTTTATTCACAAACAAATTATGCATTAGTGTGTTGCGTCATTTTAAGACCAACTGGTCTCTTTGTCAAGTCAATTATGCAGTGTGTATACACTAGATATCGATGGGGGAAACGTCCGGGGTCGAGTGACGTATCAAACGTACAATTTCATTAGATTGTTGTATAGGTACACAATACAACTCGCTCCTNTGGGAGCAGGTATTGATTGTTACGTCACTTGTTTGTGAGAATAACGTCATCAGTTTTTGAGAAAAAGACGTAAGGTTCTCACACAAACCAATGACGTAACAATCAATACCTGCTCCCAAGAGAAGATAACTCTGCAATACGCAAAGACGGAATAGGTACACAATACAACTCGCTCCTTGGTCATTTGACAAAGGGACCAGTCGGTCTTGAAACGTTGTGACAAGTTTAATATGAACATTAATTTTGTTTGTGTATAAAGTAAAACTTTTATTTCGTAAATGACATCACTTACATATGGTATGGTCATGTTCTGAGTATATACCCCCTGCCTGGGGCTGCTGAAAATAATATGGTCTTTAATAGGATTTCCTATTCTAAACCAGAAAAAAGGAATATATATATATCTACAATGTGTAGGGCAACGATGTTATAACGACAGTGCAGACAAAGGAATTAGTCCAATTTCAGGGCAACCCGCCCCTTTATCAAAACAGAAACATGAAAATTTACATATCACAACATGTAACAGAGATCACCCTCAAAACTTGTCTGCACTGTCGTTATTCTTATTTGCCCATATATCTATTTAAGTGATACACATTTGTTTGTTCAGTGCTAATATTGGATCATACTGTCGCTATTACTTACGAGACCTATATATATATATCTACAATGTATATATAGTTGGTAACTTTTGGTAGAAAAAACATTGGTAGTAAATAAATATTCCATATATCTTTATCATTTACAAAAATGCAGGAACTTTGGGGGAGAGTGAGTGAAATAGGCGGGACTTGTTTTCTCTAATCCTAACGGTTTATATTGTAATAACGAACATGGAATATTTTAACAGATCGTCTTAATTAATACCATTAGTCATTTTATTATATAGATCTTCACTTCTACTGACAGTGGTTATATTGAAGCTCTGGAAACTGATAACAGTCAGGTTTTAAACATTATGTTTGATATTTCAGGTACAAGCAGTGCTGGGACGATTGCCGGAGCTGTCATCGGCGCGTTCGCTGGAATCCTCCTCATCATCCTTATTGTGTATTTTGTGGTGTTTAGACGCAGGAGTCCCGGAGAGACATGTAAATATCATACACTAATTAACTGTGTGATCTTGTGTTGATCGTGAAAGTTTTCTTCTTGATGCTCCTGTGAAAATTCGGACTGGCAGGGCATAATGATAAATAAAATCTTCCCGACTTTTCACAAATCTCCTGAAGATGAAACCCATTAAGAGTATATATATATACATTAGTATGATATAAATGTAATTGTTATTCAAATTTATGGGCCTCAGTGGCCAAGTGGTGAAGGCTTCTGCTATTCTTCTACCACTTAAGCCTTCACCACTGGGCAGCTGGTTCGAGGCCTATGTGGGGCAGTTGCCAAGTATTGGCTGTAGGTCAGTGTTTTTTCTCCACTACCAAAACCTGGCACGTCCTTAAATGACCATAGCTGTTATTAGGACGTAAAACACAAACAAACCAAACAAATTTAGGTTTTAAAATTTGTCTGCATACGTTACCATAGCATCAAATGATAACTATCCCTGTTATAATTATGTATGGTATATCAATTATGAAACTGTGGAAAGCAGAAGTTATTTCAATTTGATGAGCCTTGGCTATTTGGAACTAGAATTCTCTTGAAAGCAAATAGGTTCTAAATAAAATTTAACAGTTGCATTTATTTGTGAGTTCATTTTCAGATTTAATTTCTTTTTAAGAAGGAGAGAAAATTAATGATTCCAATATGTAGTCTTTTAAAATGTAAGATAGAAATTGTCAACACACAGCTGCCCAATATTTAACTGATGTGTTTTGTTTTACTTGTTTCAGACAACACGAAAGAAGATGGATCCCCAGAGTAAGTACAGGACACACACAACAGCAAACATCCACAGAACTACCGTAAAAAATTGTGTTATTTGTGGTGTTTTTTTGTGATGATATAACGTTTCAAGTAGGGAATGCGCAAATTTCATAGCTATACATTTTTTCAGATATTTTTTCTCGAAAGATTGTCCATTTGTATGGTCTGCCAGCATTTTGCAGCCCAAAAAAGTACTGTGCAAATTACATGGGGTTTTGCGGTAGTTCTAGTTACCCTCACTAATGGCCACATTAAAAGAACATGAATAGTAGTCGAGGATTTTGATTTTTGCTGATCTTTTGATTTCATGAGGAATATATAGACCACATATCAGAATATACATCCTCGATACTTCAGGGGTTACGCTCACTTTCGCTCTATGCAAACATAGAATATGTCATAGCAAAATTGAAGGCACATGGCTAGCTCTTTGATTGGTCTTGATAACCTGACTCATTGCTAGGCTGATACCTGTCCTTTTGAAGATCCCAACAGAGGTGGGACACCCAACTTCCAAGCCATTCAATTTTACCATAATGTTACCGGGAGATTCTTTTGATGTACATGAAAGGACCAACCTAGTCTTCTTGTCTCATCCACAAGGTGGTGTACACTGAGCCTTTGGTTTTGCTATGACATATTCTAGGGTTGTAGAGAGCGAAAGTGAGTGTAACTCCCGGAGTATGGAGGATGATTATAGCTTTGTGTTAGGTACTGTTGTTTTGGATCTTTTTCACATTTTATTTAGTTTTTCACTGCTCTGTCACATCATCTAACCCTGAGCTTTGTAGCTATTTTATGCTCACCTTTCCTAAGCTCACTGAAGCTTGTGTCATGAAAATCATATGTAATACTTTGTTTCTGCCCCATAAAACAAGAAAATAATACATGTCACATGTTTTGTTTAAACAGTAGAACCAATTACTAAAAATGGTGTTTTATTTTCTTGGTGTTAACTCATAAGATATTTACATAATCACTAAGTACACATATCCACAAGGGGAGTGCATTCAGCCATAGAAACCTAGGTTTGAAAACATACACAATCTAAAGTTCAGTATTAACATCTCCATTGCAAAATCCAGTACTATAGTCTGGTTCATGATTATTAACTCACTCACCCCTGAAGACACATTTAAACTCTTCTAATTCAAAACTTGGATTAGTTCATATGAAATTCAGGGGTGAATGAGTAAAGGCATTATTAAAACATGCAATATGTGTTTACAATGAAACGTAAACACACAGTAAAGATTTGGTAGTAGTGTCAGCAGTGTTACAATATCTAAATAGTCAGCAGAGAGTGTACTCTGATGTTCTGTTTTAGATGTTAGAGCTGTGTAACATGACCCTTTAACCCCTATGTAACTTTAGTAGACTCTACCATTCATTGATCTGGATGAGTCTATTATGGTCTACAGTGGTGAAAGGGTTAAATGTGGCCTCCTATATTCCAAGTTTCTTTCAAACTTAAATATAGTTTAAATTTCATTTTGTTACAAATTTTCATTTACAAAGAAGATATTTACTTTTGTAAAGACTAGAAAAGCGATAAATATTCACTGTGTTATATTTGTCCATGGAAATATAATTCTAATTTGATTGTTAACTGTTTCCTATAGGAACGCAGAAAATGGGTAAAGTATTTTACAATTATTTCACTTGACCCTTATATACAAACAGAAATAGTGAGGATAACTGGATCCGGTGCATTAATGAGAAATCTGGGGCACGTTTCCAAATATAATCTAGAAGCAAGACCCCCGAGATTGTGCTTTGTTAATCTGTAAATGTAACAATTATGTACAATTGTATTCTCCAGTATAATCTAGATACTCTTATTATATTAACGCTAGTGTGTGAGATATAACTACATATCTATATATATTCCAAACACTGTAATTATTTCTGTCAGTGACTATATATCGTGACCTGAAATACAATGATGTTGGTGAAAAGCAGATCTGTCTCAAGGCAAACATTTCTGGTAATTTGAGTTATGTAAACCGTTTAAGGTTACAATAGAAGATTCTGAAGTGGAAAAATAGCTTAATTATGTATTACTGTCATAATTTATTGACTTTCGAATATTCCAACATACTTAACAACTTTTTGAAATTTCCATGGGGGAGATTCTGCATGCTCAAAATTAAAACCTAAATAAAGGTGTGTATATACCCCTTATTGACCAAATTACCTTTTAAATGACATATTTTGAGCTTTTTCGTTCAGATGATATCATTAAATCTTAGAATATGGTAATAGTTTAGCAAGTTCACTGGTTAAAAGGGTCCAAAATTTGGAGTCACCCTCTTAATATATAGGGAGAGTTGGCAAGTTTGTGATATTTCCCAATTTTGCCAAAGTTTCTAAAACACTCTGATGATACATACCTGAGTTGGTATTGATTTTGCATGTCTACACCATGTACAGGGAATGTTACACAACCACACATATCATTGAGGCAGGCAGCACATAGGCTTGGTTTTAGCAATCAGTACACCATCCCATCTCTTTGTTTTAGCAATCATTACATCATCTCTATAATATATCTCTCTGCATGTTCATGTTCATGATAACTGTTTTCTCATTTTCTCTCCGACTGCATGATAAGCAAACATCTTGTATTCTATCTACTTGTAACAACATTGATGTTGCCAGATTATTTAGCCTTTATTTTTCCTGGGTGTCTGAACCATGCAATGATCATCGCATACATTTGTACCGGCACCTTTGGTTTGTATAGAGTTACCTCCCTTCCAACATCTACGTGGCATATAACATAAACTCGCATAGTTGTATAACTAATAATATCATAACTTGATGTTTACATTATTCGGGGGAAAAAATGTTATTGAAAAAGACGTTACTTTATGATACATGTATAGTTTATATATATTGTAATCCAATAATTTCATTATATACCCATCACTTACATGTAAATTGTGTAAACATCTTTGAAATCCAGGGGTTCACCTCTTGATAAATAGAATCTATCACTCCTATGTGGTGTATGTATCAACCAGAGGGTGATATATCTCTGTCTACATAACACAGGAGTGATGGATAATTTTTCTCAACATTTTCATACCGTAAAAAATACCTTCACTGCGAAGTTGTATTTTTGACCCCAATGCACCAAACTATCATCAATTTAATTCATCAACAATTCTTCCCTTTTCACCATTTTTTCCCATGGCAACACATTCGCTTATTTTGAAATGTGGGAATGCTGAGCTTGCTATGTTTTGTTTACATGTGTATTATACATGTGTGTAAAAAGTGATGCATTTGGTTTTGCTAAAAGTGCACAGGGTCACAGGTCATGTTTAAAGAAGTTTGTTGTCTGGGACATAATATAGTGCATTTCAGCTGTCTTAATCGAGGTAGATCGAGACAGGTTTATCTTTTCCCTACCAAAAACAGGGATGTACCTGTGAAGTGTGGGAGAAACTCATTTCTCTCACCCTTCACAGGTGTGTCTCCCGTTTTAGCCGGGAAAGATCAGCTTGTCACCCCCTAGGGGGAGATAGCCTCGTGCCGATTAGCACGTGTTCAATTGTGACGTCATTAAAATGTGTCATTGGTAATTGTGACGTCATCAAAGAGAATGACGATATGTATACCCCACATGTGTTTTTGTTTACAAACATGGCAGACTATTGTCTGTGGAGCTGTGACTGAAATAATAGGATGGGAGAAAAATAATCATCCCCTACCTTGAGGGTGTAACATAAAATCTCCAACCCTCAGGATGATTTTTTGGTTGTCTAACCCTCGGCTCACCTCTTGGGTTGGAGATTTCTCTCGGTCACACCCTCAGGGTAGGGGAAGATTCTATTAATCTTCTCCATTACTCATGGATCACGTTGTGACAGAGTCAATGGCTGGCTGTTAGCTATTGTTTAGGTTATCAAGGTCAAAACTGACCCAACAGACAATGCTGGTGGTATTCATGGGATGATGGTTGGAAAGCTACAAAGTGTTAATAGAAGATCACTCTGGTAAAACAATTATGCAGAAATAGACAGCTTGTGTCATCTGCGAGGTGACATTAAAATAGATTTGTGAGAAGAAAACCTTTGGATTTTGAAGATGTCTGAAGTTATCAAAGATGAGAAAGAAAAGCTTCCTTATATTAATATGCACCCATATATCTGAAATGACTGCTTTAAAACAGGTCCTACCATTTCTACTGTAAACTTACATAGCATTCATTGATCTTGTAATTTAAAGTGACCAGCTATCACTCTAAGCTGTACCAGAACAAGTCAATGTCTTTTTCTGCTCAGGATTGAGACCATGATCTTACTCCATGTCAGCACACAGACTATAGAGATGTAAACTTTTGTGATTCAGTGAAGACTTTCTCTGTTTACAGAGGCCCAGCCCACACAGAAGGACCTGTATACAGTGTACCAGACAAGAACCGCTCGAGAGGGGTAAGTGTTGTTTACTTGGTTACCTATTGTTACCATGGTTACTTGACCGTATGGTTACCCTGTTATACTGGTGGTTACCTATTGTTACCTTGGTTACTTGTCCGTATGGTTACCCTATGTTATACTGGTATCTCGGTCATAAATACCTGTCAGTATGTCACTATGTCCTCCTGACTATACTATATACTATATATAGATTTTGTTACTATATTTAGACTTTGTTACTGTACCCAGACGTTGTACCTGTATCTTGACATCATCACTTTATGTAGACCATGACTTCAGACTGTTCAGCAATTTTTATCGCGTTGGTTTTATTTTATCATTTCCCTGGTACATATAGCAACAGCAGATGCCACATGTGTTTCTTTACTTTGACAATTCCAGACAGTCTCATATCTTATTGAGATGCTAAAATTTGTTTTATTCACATCAAAGATCAGGTGTAATTATGCACTAGACTATTTTTTTTACAAATATCGCAACCACATATTAGGGCATAGCAATTATATTGTACTGGGTTTTAAATAATTGAACTAGTTCCACTTGAATCTGCCACATTTTATTTTACCATGGATACAAAGAAAAGTGGTGAACATTTTGGAGGGTAGACAATCCTTCAATTCTGTGATAACGAAAAACAGGAAAATGCAGTCATTTTGGTCCGTAACAATATATATCCACTGTCCAATCTGTTACAGAATAATGAGGACACTTTAGAATGAATCAGAAGAAGGTACCTTTAGTACGTTATAATGGCTTATACATCTAAACTGCAGAGCACTTGTTTTTATTGCATATTTTTTACGACATACAGTGATGAATGCTGCATTCATGCAGTGCTGAACGCTCGTACACTGATGAATGATGCATTCAGAAATGAAGAAGGATTGTTTATATGAACACATTGACAGCAATGTCCTGTCATTCTGTGAATTACATCCCTAAGCTACATCACTGATAAATGCTTGTTAAATCTGTCTCGACCTTCAGTACATTAAACTTTTGTGCTCCAGAGCATGACATACGTGATTGACAATTCAATTCTCTACACTCTGCAAAGTTCTGCTTTAAAATGTATGTCAAAATAATACTCATTTCATCATTTCTTACGTCAGAGACCTCATTTAAACACTGTTTCTAATAGTACCCTGCATGTTTATCTCCTAAGGTCCGCTATTGTTATAGTAAAGAATTCCTGTAGAAATACATATGTTACAAGTTCAGTGGCACGTAATTACGTATTATAATACATACTCAATAGTCCCTCATTGTACTTTCGTGGGTTATAGCAGGGATAATAACTCGGTATATCCTCAGTATATTTCTGGGTCATTAGATCACTTTATTCCTTGCACTAAATCATGATCTGTATTTGGGAAGTTTATCAAATGAATGGAGTTCCTAAATCATCAAGGTTATAATTTTTTGGATTTTTTCCGGGGGGGGGGGGGGGGGGGGGTGTATTACATGTAAAGGTATTTCTACCCTGAGTGCTAAGAATTGTATCTTTTTGATTTAAATTTGACACTTTACAAGCATATATATGTATACAGTGAATTTTTGTCAAGTAATTTATCAAAAATATTTGTACTTATAGTGAAGTTGTTGATTTGTTTATAAGTGTTATGGTTGTGTAAGACAATTGTTTTAAGATTTAGATAAATGTGTGTCTGTGGTGCATGAGGCTACATAAGGCTTGATTAAAACATATCTCAATCCCATGAAAGGAATACTATTTTGGAAGGCACCTTGTACACCAAATAAATTTGTTATTTCTATTTTTTTTATTTTTTTTTGTACATTGATATATTGTGTTTGCCTCCAAAACCTCCACCTGATACAGAGTTTATAAGTGTCCTACCAGTACTACTGGAGGGATGTAGAGTTAGTGTCCTACCAGTACTACTGGAGGGGTGTAGCGTTAGTGTCCTACCAGTACTACTGGAGGGGTGTAGAGTTAGTGTCCTACCGGTACTACTGAAGGGGTGTAGAGTAAGTGTCCTTCCAGTACTACTGTAGGGGTGTAGAGTTAGTGTCCTTCCAGTACTACTGTAGGGGTCTAGAGGGTAGTGTCCTACCAGTACTACTGGAGGGGTGTGGAGTTAGTGTCCTACCAGTACTACTGGAGGTGTGTAGAGTTAGTGTCCTACCGGTACTACCGAAGGGGTCTAGAGTTAGTGTCCTACCGGTACTACTGAAGGGGTCTTGAGGTTAGTGTCATACCAGTACTACTGGAGGGGGGTAGAGTTAGTGTCCTACCAGTACTACTGGATGAGTGTAGAGTTAGTGTCCTTCCAGTACTACTGTAAGGGTCTAGAGTTAATGTCCTACCAGTACTACTGGAGCGGTCTAGAGTTAGTGTCCTACCAGTACTACTGGATGGGTGTAGAGTAAGTGTCCTTCCAGTACTGCTGTAGGGGTGTAGAGTTAGTGTCCTGCCAGTACTACTGTAGGGGTCTAGAGGTAATGTCCTACCAGTACTACTGTAGGGGTCTAGAGGTAGTGGCCTTCCAGTACTACTGTAGGGGTCTAGAGGGTAGTGTCCTACCAGTACTACTGGAGGGGTGTGGAGTTAGTGTCCTACCAGTACTACTGAAGGGGTGTAGAGTTAGTGCCCTACCGGTACTACTGAAGGGGTGTAGAGTTAGTGTCCTACCAGTACTGCTGGAGGGGTGTAGAGTTAGTGTCCTACCAGGACTACTGGAGGGGTTTCAAGTTAGTGTCCTACCAGTACTACTGGAGGTGTGTAGAGTTAGTGTCCTACCGGTACTACCGAAGGGGTCTAGAGTTAGTGTCCTACCGGTACTACTGAAGGGGTCTTGAGGTTAGTGTCATACCAGTACTACTGGAGGGGTGTAGAGTTAGTGTCCTACCAGTACTACTGAAGGGGTGTAGAGTTAGTGTCCTACCGGTACTACTGAAGGGGTGTAGAGTTAGTGTCCTTCCAGTACTACTGTAGGGGTCTAGAGATAATGTCCTACCAGTACTACTGGAGGGGTCTAGAGTTAGTGTCCTCACAGTACTACTGGAGGGGTCTAGAGTTAGTGTCCTCCCAGTACTACTGGATGGGTCTAGAGTTAGTGTCCTTCCAGTACTACTGTAGGGGTCTAGAGGTTAGTGTCCTACCAGGACTACTGGAGGGGTTTCAAGTTAGTGTCCTACCAGTACTACTGGAGGGGTCTAGAGTTAGTGTCCTACCAGTACTACTGGAGGGGTGTAGAGTTAGTGTCCTACCGGTACTACTGAAGGGGTCTTGAGGTTAGTGTCATACCAGTACTACTGGAGGGGTGTAGAGTTAGTGTCCTACCAGTACTACTGGATGGGTCTAGAGTTAGTGCCTACCAGTACTACTGGAGGGGTGTAGAGTTAGTGTCCTACCAGTACTACTGGAGGGGTGTAGAGTTAGTGTCCTACCAGTACTACTGGAGGGGTGCAGAAGTTAGTGTTAAGGTTAAAGGAATAAAAAAAAAAATGTCTGAAAAATAATATTCTGTTAAGTTAAGACAATTTTTGAGAGCATTTTTAAAACTGCTAACAAAAGAACTGAAGAAGTTTGAGATTTTTCTGATGGTGCCTGTGTATTTCCAGCTTTATATGAAGGTAAACCGGTCGTCGTTCAGAGATATATCTTTTTCCTACAGTCCCGAGCGAACGACTCCGAATACACCCGTAAGTCAGCGTAGATATGGTTTTCGTCAAGACCAGCTGTGTAAAACAGGATATCGCTTCATAGAACATGGAAAACAGATCTTGTTACATGTTTATTATAGAGAATTAACACACAGTTACTGTATTGTACGATTAACCATTACACTGTGTATTGTGTACATTGTATATTAACCCCCTGTATTTATTTATACACAAACAGTTAGGGCTGTTTACTTTTGTTGACGCTATGGGAGATGTAGATATCAGAGAATCGTTTTGTGTTTTTTTTTACACCATGTTTAATATACCACTTGGCTTATTTAGTTCTCTCCCACCTGGTGATATCACTTTGTCATGTAGATAGTGATTGTTTTGGAGGTAAATTTTATTTTGACATGTTTAAGATTCTGTGTATCATTTGAAAATGTTATACCTTACTATATATAGCTCGATCAACTTGGTAAAATGGTAATAATATGAATGAAAAAAAAAGAAGTAAATCAACATTTGTTCAGTGTTAGTATATATATTATAAATCTGACTGAAAGTTTATGTAACTCGTTCACCCCTGAAGTTTCGTAATGAACTTTTTCAACCTTTTTATTCGAGGTAAAATACGTCTGCAGGGGTGAACTAGTTAAAGAACAATTTAGTTGACATATACAACCACTAAGTCCTTCCCCCAGCCAACATTAGTGAGGCTTTCTCTGGAGCAGCCTATTTTACCTTGTCAATGACTGTGTATGTATTAAATAAGGAAGAATACTCTAGTTTGTTTTGTGCCTCATGAGTAGATCTTTGCAGATTTTTCTGCATGTGGGAAAATGGTAACAGAGTCTGGGAAATACTCCTGACAAAATGATCCAGAGAAGTTTTTAATCAATATTATATACAAATCATAGCAGACCTGTTATTAGTTTGTGTACCTGCCTTCACTGGACTGTACTGTATATATTCAGTGGCAGTCATATATCCAGTATGTACGGTGGAACCTTGTTAATCTACAAGTCATGCTTTTTAGACATTTCAACTCCAGAATTGTTGATTTTAAGTGATAATGACAGGTCCTTCATTGTGATATATTATTTTTTTTCCTTTCTGAAGCATAAAGTTTTCAAACTAACAAAATTCCACTGTTTAGTGTTTATATACTGTCAAGCCTTGTAAATCCAGTTGATTTATACTATCCAGCCTCCACTTAATTATAATCCAGTTGTCCCACTGTCCAGCCATCACAAATCCAGTTGTCCCAATGTCTAGTCATCACTAATCCAGTTGCCCCTCTATCCACCCACCAGTAATCCAGTTGTCCCACTGTCCAGCCATCACGAATCCAGTTGTCCCAATGTCCAGCCATCACTAATCCAGTTGCCCCTCTATCCACCCACCACTAATCAAGTTGTCCCACTATCTAGCCGCCACTAATCCAGTTGTCATACTGTCCAGCCACCACTAATCCAGTTGTCACCACTATCCAGCCACCACTTATCCAGTTGTCCCACTATCCAGTCACCACTAATCCAGTTGTCCCACTATCCTGTCACCACTTATCCAGTTGTATCACTATCCAGCCACCACTAATCCAGTTGTCCATCTATCCAGCCGCCACTAATCCAGTTGTCTCACTGTCCAGTTACCATAATTATACCACTTAACCCCCACCTTTAATCAACATCAGTTTTCCCCTCTATCCAGTTATGCCACAATTAATACAATTTTCCCACTCAACATCCAGCACTTTAAATATTGTTGTGTCATTTTCCAACCAGCACTTATCAAGTTGTTCCAATATCAAGTTCACTAATCCACCAAGTCTGCTATATTGAATCACAAATAAGCCCATGTTTGTTGCGGAGGTGTCTGAATTAACAAGGCTTCATTGTTTATATACTTGTATATTATAATTATTTAAATTAGAATGAATTTACATACAGATAATTGTATGAGGTTGCTTGAAGGGGAAATAACTCTATTATGTATGTAATGACGGCAGTAATTATCACTCGATGCCTTGACAGAGAATGCATGTAAGTGTATGTATCAGTATGCAAGTTGTACGTCAACGAAGGAAAGTCTTGTGTCTTGTGCATGGCAGAGCTACACAGTGTAAACAGATTCCTACTCTATCTATAGCTTATATATCGGCTACTATATATCTACAAATTGTCAATTTTCTTAAGAGAAAAAAATTAAAATAATTTCTATTTTAAAATGTGTGCAGCATGCATTTCAAAATAAAATCGGAAGCATTGCTTGCACAGAATTTGAAGATTTTTTTTTTAATTGCTCTTTCTAATAAAAAAGTTATTTAAAGAAAAGATAAAAACTGCCTTTTGTTTTCTCAGAGACAAAAGCAAGATATTGAATGTGATCTTTTGGAGATTAGGCTCTCTATAAAAAAAAAATCTATGTCAAGAAATTAACTGTACTTTAAATATTATCAATGATCATTGCAAAATCTGGCTATCAATAAGTATGACCTTATCAGGGTAGGAGGTAAAATTGTGGAATTTTTTTATTTTTTTTTAAACATTCACGTTAATATAAAATATATTACCAGTAACTATATTTTTCATGAGAAATCTAAAAAGCATCAACATATATTGGACATGGATAATTGTCCTAGAAAATATTTCAAATAATATTATTGAGGATGGTTCAATTATTTTCCTAAATTATCAAAAGATAATATTGTTTTGATCTGCCAGTCACTGACACCGATTTTCTTTGATGTATTGACAGGCATCTCCCCCCGGCCAGCCCCCATCCCCACCCCGCGAGTACGAGTCACTGGTGGAGGCCAAGCGCGAACTACATTATGCTGACCTTGACATCGCTAGTCGTCCGCCCGGTGTCCCGGCTCCGAGGCTCAGCAAACATGTACCAACTGAATATGCTACTGTCAAATTTGTCTAGCTTTGGGGAAACTGTTTAGAAAGAAAGTAGTTGTGAGAGTCTGTAGAATGTTATGTATGACAGCGTGTAAGTTGAAGGATTCTAGCATGCGAGTAGGTGTAAGTACTGTCAAAGATACAGTTGTAAGTGCAACTTTCATTTTTACATTTTTTTCCAATTGTAGATAATAAGTTTTAATGTTTTGCATGATTGTTGTATAATGTGACATTTTGTGTGTGCAATATTTCTTTGCCTCTTTATGTAATAACTACAGTTATCTTTTGCTTAATTGAACGAAAATATACATTTTGAGCTCCCAAATTGAATCACCAATCCTCACATCAGTAGCCTAGTAGTTCTGCATATAAATTGCTGCAGTCAAAAACTAAATTTTTGTTACAATGCTGATGTGGGGACCAATCAAAAATATCGTTACATTGCTGATATGGGGACCAATGGAAACTGTTGAAACATTGCTGATTTTGGGACCAATGAAAACTGTTGTTACATCGCTGATGTTGGGACCAATGAAACTGTTGTTACATCGCTGATGTTGGGACCAATGAGAAATACTGTTACATTTGTGATCTATAGAATGTGTGGAATAGTGGAGGTATAGTGATTGCTCCTCAAATTGTTGACGATTTTCAGATCTGGTAAAAGTGTACAGTTGACATTGTATTCCTCAATCAACCTGAATCACCTTGTGAACATGACCACCAATCCTAAGTGGAGTGGTATCAGTAATATAATTATAAGTTAAATGATAAATTTTCTGATGTTTCTATGACAACGACTAACAAATCCCTTTCAGAGGAAGTGTTTCTCTCTGTACCGATTTACAATCAAATGGTTAGTGTTGGATAACAAATGTGTTCACTTTATCACTGAAGTTAATGATCTTTTGTTAACACAAAATTTGAGCATTAAACATTTTTTAACCATTGATACAAAACTATCTAGAACAGGCTTCAAAGGAATAATCATAAATACACATTGTTTAATGTACAAAAAATGTGTTTGTAGTTATGATTTTAGTTCATGTATGCAATTGTTTCTTCATTCTGTATCCTTGATGGTTAAGATAATGAGGTTATTTTGAAAATCTCAAAACTGATTTGTAAAATGTAAAATTTAATGATAGCTAGACAGGTGGCTGTTTTGTATTGTAAAACAGTACATATATTATTGTGTAGGAAGGCTTGCATTTATGACATTCGGATAATCTTCATTATTTTTGTACATAGGAATATTTATGTAAATCTGTGCTATTACATAATTTATGTCTGTATGTTAAGTGGACATGTATCAGAAACATTGTGTTAGTATGCTCACTGGCCAGTGTACTGATTTGTTTGTTAGATGTATGGTATGTATTTATAATTACTTGTTTTTGTCCAGCTTATTTGACATAAATCTGTGTTGAGGTTTAACAGTGTTATACTGTAGAAGTCACAAGCCTAAATAGGATACCTACACTAAGGAGTATTAACCTCAGTACAACACTGCACTAAACTGCGCTAACCACAATGATACAAAGCACTACGCACTAAAGATTATAAACTTCAATATGATACATACATGGCACTTGTACACATGAACTTCACTATGGTGTAAAATGTTACTGGATTGGTTTTGTTAGACTTGTGTATTAATTGATTGGTGCCGGTAGGGCCTTGTTTGACATGGTTTTGTTAGACTTGTATGTTAATTGAATGGTGCAGGTAGAGCCTTGTTTGACATCGTATTGTGGTGCAGGTCAAGTCTTGTATTTGCCCTATTCTTGTAAGATTTCAAAAATCAAGCCTTGAAAATGTTAATTTTAAATTGACAAATATCACTCAAAGTGTACAAGTTGTTGGAATCCATTATATGGTGCTGTTAGATGTCTTCCATCAAGCTTTGTGATTGACCTTTATGACCTAGTTATTTGACCTTGAAGGTCTAGAAATAGTCTCAGTGACCTAAAAAGTGCCATATTACTGAGTGTCTGTATACCCAATACAGCGCTAAGTAGAATAGATACAAGTAGGACTAGCAACAGATTTGTGGACAATTTAATTGTTCTGGTGTTTTATTGCAAGATTGTAAATTAGATGTTGTATAAGAAGTATATATTTTCGGTGATTACTTACCTGCAAATGTAGGAAGGTCTATGGTAAATTAAAGTCTGGAATCTGTATCTTATTGTCATAGATTAGAAAGATACTTACAACATTTCCATTCAAATCCAAGATTTTATACGGGCACATTTTTGTAGGGATTTAGTTTCACCTAGTAACTATTGAGGATCCTGGTGGGGTGTCCTGCTAGGTGTCTTCGGCAGTATGTTTCAGTGAGGTAGCACTATAAAGTCGGCATCAGTTCCGCACTATCACAAGGAGACAAACACGAACATATCACAACCTCCCAAAACACACACGCATACACTACACGCATGCATCTTGCACACAGGGGAGGCCGTCCTTAAATGACCAAAGCTGTTAATAGGACGTTAAACAATACCAAACCTAGTACCAGCTGACTAACAAAAACTGTAACTACGCATCAGAAACAGGTTTTCAGACATGACTAGGGCTTTACTCGAAAACTTTCTGAAATAAAAACCATACCTTGATGAACTTTAATGAGAAATATTAAAGATGAAATAAACAAAATACAATCAACAAGAGTGTTCTGTGTTTAAAAACGGACAGGCATCCTTAAATCGACGGTATTGAGAAAATGTAGTTTGAAATTTAATTCCTTAAAATATGTGATCATTGAAAGATGCCTTGTAATGATATATAGATTTTTTAGAGAAAAACTTTGTTTATGGTCCTGCCACGTATATTTTATATTTTATATACATTATATATATAAACAAGCCTGTATTTTATATACATTACATATATAAACAAGCCCGTATTTTATATACATTATATCTATATAAACAAGCCTGTATTTTATATACATTATATATATAAACAAGCCTGTATTCTGTCTTCTTGCCAATACTATATCAACTAATTCATTTTTGAGACAAAGTTATCAATATTTGTAATAAAAAGTATGTATTCAAGAAAGGAATCTCTGAAGGTATGAAAGTGTGGTGTTTATCTAGGTCTGGTGACATTGTTAAATTAAAGGTTTGATAGGGTGGTATTATAAAGGTTTCGTGACATTGTTAATTGAAGGTATGATAGGGTTGTATTATCTAGGTCTGGTGACATTGTTAATTGAAGGTATGATAGGGTGGTATTATCTAGGTCTCGTGACATTGTTAATTGAAGGTATGATAGTGTGGTATTATCTAGGTCTGGTGACATTGTTAATTGAAGGTATGATAGTGTGGTATTTATCTAGGTCTGGTGACATTGTTAATTGAAGGTATGATAGCGTGGTATTATCTAGGTCCGGAGACATTGTTAATTGAAGGTATGAGAACGTGGTACTATCTAGGTCTGGTGACATTGTTAATTAAAGGTATGATAGGGTGGTATTATCTAGGTCTGGTGACATTGTTACTTGAAGATATGATAGCGTGGTATTATCTAGGTCTGGTGACATTGTTAATTGAATGTAAAGTTACTTTATACAGAACCCTATATAACGTATAAGTTAAGTATTCAACATTATGGACTTTTCTCCCGAGAGTCTAGGGGCCACGCCTAGTGGTTAGCGCTTCTGACAATCTGCGATCACTAGACCTCCACCACTGGGTCACAGGTTCGAGGCCTATATGAGGTTGTCACCAGGTACTTGTGACAGCAAAACGGTCTCTCTCTCTCCACCAAATCCTGGCTCATCCTTAAATGACATAGCTTGTAATAGGATGTAAAACACAAACAAACCAAAACGTTTAGTCTCAAAACCAAGTCGATCATTACTATAGACAACAAGCCTCCATTTGTAGGGCCATACGGTTTTATGTCTGTCACAAATATCCAAACCGATACATTTACAACGAGTGAGTGAAAGACTTAGACGTGAAGTTTTACTGAGACCGTTACGTTATAGAACCTAGGTACAATGATAAATACAAAGTGTGAAGTATGTTTGTCTAATATTTTTATACAGCTTTTATATTTGTTATATATATATAGATTGGACTTGTTACAATTTTCATGTTATTATTTTATCGGTGTATGAATTTGTTAAAACAGGTGTGCCTAATCACTATGTAAATGATAGAATGAGTAGTGGTTTACGTTTTTCTGCTCATGTTATTAACTCATTCACCCTTGAAGACACATTTGAACTCTTCCAATTCAAAGGTTGGAATAGTTCATTATTAAATTTCATGGGTGGATATTAAGATGTTGTTCACTAACTTTGTTACACCTTAATTTTTATCTGATGCTGATTTTTTAACCATACAATGTATGTATACAAGTCTAGTTAACTTTCTCTATCCACCTGGGATGTATTTATCCGTACTTAAAGAGAACAATTAAGTTAAATATATTTGATATAAAGGTAACATTTTTACAGACTATAATTATAAGTCTACTGTACTGATACACCTAATGTATTTTTGTTCATTTAAACATCAGGAATCAATTAACATTTTTACACCCTTTTTCATCATTCAGGTATGTTATCATTGCAATTTGTTCATGTTTTATACTACCACGTTAATGTTCGTGTACCATAAACATAGCTATTTATAGACATACACCTAATTCGGAATGGTATCGAGCAAGTGATATTCTCATGCATATTTATATGATATCCTTTCTAAACAGTTAACAGGTCATTCTATATCATCTGAATTTAAATTAGTATTTAGAATTGAAGAGAGTAACTATGATTTAATATTAATTACACTACATGTACACAGAAAATTAAGGTTGAGATATTTATCAAATCAGAATAGCCCAGAGTTACGATCATCAGAGAATATATATTGAGAATGAGGATGAAATATATGGTGTACTGCATGTATTCAGTCAGGAAAAAGTAAATTAAACAAAAGAACATGTTATATATTAAATTGTGTTTTGATAATACAGCTGTATAACTAATCACTGATAGTACATATTTTGTCTTGAGTTTCACTATGGCTGTTGATCTATGTAGTATTACATTGACACATCCTAATTGTCTCCAGTAAGTTACCACAGACCACAGTTTACTACACATGTACTCATTATACGTATCAAGGGTGGGGGGTGGGGGTTTAGTGGAATAGAACAAATATCAATGTATAGAGCTAAGCTAGATACATAGAGTGGAGAACTGGTGCTTTAAGTGTGCTGTGATGGCCAGATTTATCTTTTACAACATTGAAGACACATTTGTAAGAATTGAAATGTTGAAGGGGGGATCAAATAGAAAGTAGTGAAATGTCTTTTCGGAGTTTTTGGAAATTTTGGTTGAAATGTAGATTTTTGAGTTGTTAGGTGTTTGACACAGTTTAGCTACACATGGTATCTAGTGTTGTGTTAAGTATATTCCCACACAAGGAAACTATCAGGTCTGGTGTATTAAGTCACTCACCCCTACATATCTAAACTGGATTTGCCCAGTCATTGATTTGGTAAGGTTCAATTGTGACCTTAGGGGTGAATGAGTTAACAGATTTTAAAAATTGGTCTTGAATTTCAAAATCTGCAAATGTCACCCTTATTTTTTCTTAAATGATAAAAATGTAAAATATTTAATACTGAAATGGATTGATCAAGAAATCTTATTATAAGCAGAATCAGGACAAGTACTTTATTAATTTTGGATAATTATGGTACTTTGCTTAAATTTATTATGTAATGCTGTGGATTTGCAAGATCTGATTGGCCAAAAATAGGGACTAAAATGAAGTATTATATTCCTTTGATTGTCAGTGTATTTATGTACCTACACGTACAGTAACAGTTGTGTTCGGCTGTGATAGAGGTGAATACACTAGAATGTTAACCTGTATAAGGAACCACCCTTTTTTTGAGTAAAACAGAACCTGTCTTTAGTGACCCACCCCTCTTTCAGAGAGCGAGGACCTGTCTTTAGTGACCCACCCCTCTTTGAGTAAACCAGAACCTGTGTTTATCTATCAACCCCTCTTTGGTTAAATCAGAAGTTGACATGAAAACACTGCCGTTATTATCTTCTGTAGAATCTGCACCCCACCTGTCAGAACTGTTGAACCAGTTTCAAACCATTCCTTCTGCCATTTCACTAGATCGGTCAATGTATACACCACCTCAACAGAACTGTTAAAGTCTTTTGTCCCGGGGCCGGTGGTCCCTTGTCACAGGTTTCATTTCCATCATTCCCTAGTCCTGGGTGTGCGAGACAGAATCAGAATATATTTCAAGTATGCTATAGGAATTGACGTTAATATTACAGGGATACAAGATCTCATAACCAGTCAGCCTTGTAATAAAGGAGATGCAATAAACTCTTTTATAAAAAAACACAAATGTGGCTTGATTGTGTTATTTACAGAAATGTGTGAATTTCTCCAAATAAAGTTGTTTCTGTATCATATATCCATATGTATGCCTAACATCTTGATAATTCCCTCGGACAGACATGGCATTTCTTCAGGAGTAAATAGAATATACTTAATTTACAAATAAAAATCCTAGTTGTAAGAAGCAGATTAGAAAAGTACCATATGTATATGGAAAAAATGTTTACAGTTGATAAAGATTTTTAGGTCACCTGAGCTTTAGCTCAAGTGACCTATTGCTATCCGTTTTCATCCGTCGTCGTCCGTTAACATTTTACATTTCAAACTTAAAGTCAAGTTCTGCTGGGCCGATTGAACTGAAAGTTGGTAGGAATGATCAGCTCATGNTGACAAGTGCTCTGAAGTATAAGATCCTGTGACAGATCACAATGACAAGTGCTCTGAAGTATAAGATCCTGTGACAGATAACAATGACAAGTGCTCTGAAGTATAAGATCCTGTGACAGATCACAATGACAAGTGCTCTGAAGTATAAGATCCTGTGACAGATCACATTGACAAAGGAACTCTCCTGTTTGTGCCTAAGTTCGAGGACAATGACCATTAAGTTCGAGGACAATGACCATTAAGTTCGAGGACAATGACCATTAACTAACCTGACTTATCATGACTGTTGTTTGAACTGTGACATCTGACAGCATGTGGAACATCAGCTACATAATTCCAGGTAATACACTCGTTCAATCTCAGATGTCAGATGAACACAAACTTTTTATATTGCCTATGTATCTTCCCAGCCCTGATATCAGGTCAAAGGTCAAATACTCAAGAATTTGATACTGATATCAAACATGTGAAAACAGTTCAAGGGAGATAACCACTATTTACAATCTGCTAAGGCGACACATATCATTATTTGAAAAGTAACTATCGGGTAGTTCGGGAAAATTTCCTATCAAACTGAGTATTCACCTCTGAATAAGGGAAAGTGGAATGAAAGGTGGGCGTCTGACACTTTCAGAAAGATAGAACAAGGGAAATAACCTCTGGAAATAACGGGTAAAACTGCATCACAGGTCTTGCATATGATGGTGCATCCCAAGACCATGACAAAATTATTGATAAACATGTTTCCAGTGGCAATTTGTGAAAACCTACACTTATAAAGTAGTGAGATTGATGGACACATGATTACTCTTTAGTTGGCCTAGAGAAGGTGTTGCAAATATGTATAAATTTTGATTAAGATATGGTTCTCACGTCTTGTAACGATGTTTAATTGTTTTCTTTACAGAAACATGGACATGACAACAACGCCTTGGACGAACCACGTGAGGAGAGAAGGAAGCGCCGTGAGCACCGTGATCGACACGAAAACGACAATGGACGGGGCTACTCCAACAAGGCCATGTACGATAACAGCGACGATGATCGGGACGGTGATATCAGGGGGTCACTGGATGGAGGAGGACACCCGGTCGGGATCGGGTCGGCTGTGTAACAGCATGTGGATTATTTCAGCAAATATTTACTCAGCTGTGTGTAGGCACAGGCAATTCTGGACAATGTTGATTGATAAAACATAATTATGCAGTCAATTTTTAGGGTAAGATTGATATCATACGTCAGAATAGGTGGTGTTCAGTGACAATACTGACTCAGAAACACCATTAACTTGGGTTTGTCAATGTTATGAACGCTGTATGTTAAATGTGAATATTTCATGTGTAAAAACATCTTTAGGCAATGTTACACTATCTGTATGGAGGACAAGATCAATAACGACGATTGTGACAAGATTAAGGTTTAACATTAGACAAGGTTATCGTTGATTAACAGCTGTTTATAGGATCACTGTAAAGAAGATGGAAGGAAAAGAGAATGGACTGTCAGATTCACTGGGACAGAAAAACAAGAACAGAGGGACAAAAAAGGCAGACAACATATGCAGGCTAAACACCTGATCTACCGCCAGTTACCTCCCTTGGAAGATATTTTGAAAGAGAATGATATCAGCTGGCAACAATTAGAATGTTCAGTTTGTCAAACCATGACGATTAATAAAATAATTACTTAAGGAAAGTTTAGTGCAAATATATGATAGCAGGAATTGTTTTTATACTGTAATATTTGGACAATGAAAATGTAGTGACCATACTACACAAGTGTTGAGTATAGAGCAAGTTAAACCTGGTGGAGAGATGATATAAAGTTACCTTATCATAGCAAGTATACAGATAGAGCAAGTTAAACCTGGTGGAGAGACGATATAAATTTACCTTATTATAGCAAGTATACAGATAGCGCAAGTTAAACCTGGTGGAGAGACGATATAAAGTTACCTTATCATAGCAAGTATACAGATAGAGCAAGTTAAACCTGGGGGAGAGACGACATAAATTTACCTTACTTTAGCAAGTATACAGATAGCGCAAGTTAAACCTGGTGGAGAAATGATATAAATTTACCTTACTTTAGCAAGTATACAGATAGCGCAAGTTAAACCTGGTGTAGAGACGATATAAAGTTACCTTATCATAGCAAGTATACAGATAGCGCAAGTTAAACCTGGTGGAGAGACGACATAAATTTACCTTACTTTAGCAAGTATACAGATAGCGCAAGTTAAACCTGGGGGAGAAATGATATAAATTTACCTTACTTTAGCAAGTATACAGATAGAGCAAGTTAAACGTGGGGGAGAAATGATATAAATTTACCTTACCATAGCAAGTATACAGATAGTGCAAGTTAAACCTGGGGGAGAAATGATATAAATTTACCTTACCATAGCAAGTATACAGATAGAGCAAGTTAAACCTGGTGGAGAAATGATATAAATTTACCTTACTTTAGCAAGTATACAGATAGCGCAAGTTAAACCTGGTGGAGAGACGATATAAATTTACATTATTATAGCAAGTATACAGATAGAGCAAGTTAAACCTGGGGGAGAAATGATATAAATTTACCTTACTTTAGCAATTATACAGATACAGACCCGGGACACGCATGATATATATATAAATATATACATATTTCAGTTTGTGAACATATATAGTTAGTGTGGGAAGTGGATTTTTTTAGAAGAATAAAAATATATTTAATAAATAATTATTAACTTGTATATTATCTCATACCCAAGTAGTTGCTTTTTCGAATCTAATTGCTATTTTTCATTTCTTCTTGTTCTGAACTGTTTTAGGGTTCTCCAATCTAAATTTAAAGATACATGTACTGTATTAAACATTGAAATATGCTTAAATAGTATTTGTATTTCAGTTCTTCTTTTTGGGTAGGGATAAGGGACAGAGAGTTACAGGCCTATACATTTTTATAAAAAAAGTAATTAATATGAGTTTATTAATCCGCTGATTAAAGATTTTGAAAAATGAGAATGTTAGGGACAATTCTCTTGTTTTGTTGAGTCAAAAGTTATATTAAAATGTTCACTGATTTTTATCACTATACCTTGATGCTACAAAACAAATCACACATTTTGTGTTGGCCTGCTGTTTTAATCTTTTTTATACAATTTATCACCAAAACCAATTGAATAGAAGGTCCTTTTATATCTAAAAGTACTTTGTTGTGTAATTGTAGTTTTGTTAACTTTTACAGTTGATTAAATGGGATATGATTCCAATGTTTGTAAATGTTATCCCTAATTGATGTTGATTAAATGTATTTTGGTGTTTATTTGTATGACATTGTTGCATGTATCATTGAATCAAATAAGTAGTTCAACACAACATTCCAATGTGTTTGTATTTTAGATTAAAATGAAATGATATTTTTAATGTTGATTTTAAATTGAAGCTGTATATATGATTTGTGAAATTTTAGTTATAATTTCTATGTATACACCTTTACCTATGGCAGACAAAAGCATATAGATCATATGTTAATACATGTATATATGTACAGATACATAGCAGGGGTCTAGAAAGTCATGTCATAGAACTTTTTTTTCAAGTCTGAACAATTTATTTTAATGAAATTTCAAGTTATTTCGAGTTATTGTTGATAGCTCTTTGTTTTCTGTTCTGGTTTGGTATTGCCCATGTTGTAAGATCAAAATGTTGAAATTATCAAGGAATTATTGTATGTTTAAGTTGATTTGAGATAGTCACAAAAAAAAATTCTTGTAAAGGAGAAAGTTATGAAAAATTTATTGATCAAACCTGTCATTAATGTGTGAATCAGATTGTGTCAACTGAAGGTTGTGATAATAGATTAGCTATATATGACTATTCCATCTTTGCCTATTGCAGAGTTATCTTCTCTTGAGAGCAGGTATTGATTGTTACGTCATTTGTTTGTGAGAGGAATGTCATCTTTTTTTGAGAAAACAACGTAATTTTCGAACACAAACCAATGACGTGACAATCAATACCTGCTCTCAAGAGAAGATAACTCTGCAATACGCAAAGACGGAATAGCTTACTGAGGAAGGTCAAAGTGTTTTACAGGAAATCTTCACAGTTATTGATATAAGGCATTTATTTATAGATTTCATTCCAGGATAAAAGGAAAATCCAAAGATTTGCCTAAAACTATTGCAAAAGAGTCTGTTTAATGAAGAATTTTAAATGTTTTGATCTGTTACAGTGATGACCTGATCCTGTCCCCCCTGGTTACTGCCATTTTTAAAAGTCATAGTTATTATGGTGTAGCCTATTTGTTCAGTGATTCTGTTGAATTTTGATTTGTAATCTCAGCATATTATAAGTGCCATCAGTCATTATAGAAAACTGTACATAAAGTAGAGAAAAATCATCAATTTATTTACAAAATGATAACATGACAAAATTATATATAAAATATTATTGTAAATGTCTTGAGATAACTTAGTAGGTTTATATTTTCAGTGTTGCTAGGTAATATTAACAAAAATCTTATTTTACAAATCTAATTTCTTCTACATTTTTCTGATGCATTCTTCTTTGACTGTGTTTCATCTGTTCCATGTTTTTTTCAAATGAACTGAATATTTAACATTTAACTTCAAATTTCTCAATTACAAAAGTGCTGTTGAGTGATGATTTGTTCTGTTTTGGGGAAAGTAACTCGTGACAGTGTGGATGTTTTCATGTCCAAGGAGATTCCAAAATGATATTTTTTCATATCTTCAGGAAAACATACAGGTTTAGTTATCAACCTTCAGAACAATTAATGAGAAATTTACATTGATGACTAACCCTGCAAGTCGTGTGGAAAATCCGGATCTGACCTCC